ATAGACAAATCCCGCTCCTACCAACACCTGGAAAATCACTGTCATTCATCAAATGTTTACAACACTTCTGGGCACTTTGTGGAACTATAGATATTTATCTCAATTCTTATAGCAGTCCTAGGAGGTAGGACTGATTGATTTGACCACTTCCCATGCAAAGAAATGGGAGGCCCAGAGATATTAAATAACTTTTTTAAGATCACACAGCTAGAGTCTGGAGCTCCAAATATGAATCCAAGGCTTTCTGACCCAAAAGTCTATTCTCTGAACCTCTTATAACACATTCCCTGGACCTTCCAATTTTCAAGTACTGCTATGTTATTCAATTTAAACATATTTCATTTATGGTAAGAAAGAAGTATTAGAGTCCCCGCTTTCAAAAAATAATAATAATTTAGATAGGGAGGTAAAAGACACCCAAGGAACTGGAAAATAACAAAAACAGACTGTATGTAATTGAGTCTCAGCTAAACACCATCTAAGTCCATTTTCTTATTCAGCCAACATTTGCTGAATTACATGTTATACCACCTATCACTATACATTCTAATCATTCAAATTACCTATGGATATCTCCTGCCTCTGTGCTTTTGTATGTACGGTCTCTCTGCTCGTAATATCCTTACCACTAATGTCCTCTTCACAAACTTCTATTTATGCTTTAAAATACTAATTAAGGGTCATTCTCTCTGGTCTTTCTACAATCTATTCTCCACATAGCAGCCAACATGATCTTTTAGAAAGATAAGTTAGATCTTGTCACAATCCTGCTTAAGACTCTCCAGAAATGGTTTCCTATGGTTCCTAATTAAAAACAAACAACAACAAAACCATCAAACACCTCACCTTTATGATCTCACTCCTAGCAACCTCTCCATCCTCCTGTCCTACCATTCCCTTCCTCTCTCATTCCACTCTAACCACACTGCCCTCCTTCCTGTTTTGCAAGGCTCCCTCCTACCTCGGAAACTTTGCAAATGCTGTTCCTCTGGCTGGAATGGCCAACTCCTTTGAAACTAGCAGGTCTCACCTTAGATGTTGCTTTCAAGAAAGCCCTTCTCCTGCTACCTTTCCCAAATCGCCCTCCTCTCCAGCTATTTCTAGC